GTATGAAGTTGTCCCAGTTCGTACCGCGAGATCTACGAAAAAAGCTATTTTGGCACTAATTTTTGAATTCCCTAACTTGCAAGAAATAATTTGGTAATGCTGAACAACTTCTTACTTCAGGAACCAATTTACTCTTGCTAGCAGTGTCGTACGGTCAGGCGACACAGCTGAAGCATTCCAATTTAGCTGCGACAACGTTTCGCAGGTTCAACTAACTTTACTTATATTTCCGCTCCAGTAAGCGAACAGAATGCTAAAAATTGCACAGTGGACTCACTGCCCCACTTCCTCACTAAAAAAAATAAATGGTCAGCGAACCGACAAAAATGCGTTTTTTGCATAGTGCCCGCAGATTTTTGCCGGCAACGTCACTGGTTTTTCTGGCAGATGCTTCTAGCTAAAAGAATTGAGACTGGCCGCCAGGACTGTTAGGAAACATCCCTTTAAAATTTCAGCTTTCTAGCTTTTTGAATCCCCGAGTTAGCAAATTACCCACAAAAAAATTCATGGGCTCGTACACAAGAACCATGCATATCCGGAGGGCTGGGTTTGAACTCATTAATAGCCACGTGGATGGGAAGCATCTCCGCATAATTCCAGTCTTCTAGCTTTTCAGTTTCCCGAGTTAGCGACTTACCCGTAAAAAACTTTCATGAACCCGTACATAGGAACCACGCATACCCGAGGGATGGGTTTGAACTTATTAAGATCTACGTGAACAGGGAACGTCACCTTAAAATTTCAGCTTTCCAGCTTCTCTAGCTTCCGAGTTAGCAACTTGCCCATAAAAAACTTTGACGAGCCCGTACGTGGGTATCACGCGGGTAAGAGCGCCCATTTTGCACATAGGGGCACGTATATGCATGTAGATTAAGTTTCCGAAGTTTCAGCCCTGTTTCTTTAGTAGGTCCCGAGATAAAAAAATCGATACAGACGAACAAACAGACACACACAGAGACAGACACATATAGACAACCCCTCGTCAATATACGCTTTCTATACTGCATAGATGCAAAAACTGCATTAAAAAAAACGGAAAATCTGATATATCTTATATTACAATTATTATATAACATAAAAAAGATT